TTGGCTGAAGCTTCAGCTGGGTCGTATTATTCAAAGCCTGAAATGAAGGGAAAGCGATCTATGACTACCCATCAAAGGTCTATGATACCCTGCCGGATTTAGCTGTCCAAAGAGATTATCACATATTCGTAAAAATTGTTTATCCCTCATCCTTTATGCCCGTTCGAAAAGCAACACATCTACACGCCTTCAATATTGTTGCCCGATATGAACATTCCAATACTCATTACGCACGCACTACTCCACAGCACTGTCCCATTTCCCAACTGTAAATGAATTTCCAGGGCCCTTCTAATATAGAGGGTGTCCTAAAATTATGATCACAATTCAAAAAGTTATTCCCCGAGAATACTCGATGATTTTCATCTCAATCACTAACTTAGTTATGTACGGAGGTCTACTCATAATCTGTTCAGTCCAAGCCTCACTATCTTTAGGATGACGGAAGGTCTTTCATTGCGACTTACGATCATTCGCATGCGCAAGGCAGGTCCCCAACAAAGGGCAATGACAAATATTTTGTAGTTTCCACAGGCTATAGGGAAGGTTATCAAACGATACTAGGAAACAGTGTCCATCATGCATAGGCCTGAGAGAGGGAGAAAGGCTAGTCATCTTGTCGGAAGCATGACTGAACATTCCGTTCTCAAGTTGGCCGCCGCCACCCGCGACGTTCGTCAGAAGAATCCCAAAGAAGCCGGATAAATCGAAGTCGTTGATGGAGCAAATAGCCAGCGAAGAAATGTAGCCGTACCTATCACATGCAGGATCGCCATCTCACCTCCGATCACAACATGCAAGAGGGTCGAAAAATGCAGAAGGTTGCTCACCCATTCAGTGGAGACACGCACCTTGGAGGGAAAATTCTCACAGCTGAGATCCGCAATAGCCAGAACGATTGCATTCCGGCCAGTAATGTCGAGAGTGCTTCCACAAGGAGAATTGCCTGCAGATTACCGAACTCAACCCTAGTATGCTTCGAAAGAACTTCACGTCTAGTGGTGAAGGCCGTCAGTTTTTCGTCGTTCTCGGTAGGAACATCAGCAAACCCGTTCACCTTGTGTGAACCTATTGAAGGCTCAACCCGGGCTCACTTCGGAAATAACCTGAGGTTCTTCCAGCAGGAAAGTGCTATAGCCTGAGAGCCAAGTCCAACCAAGAGTGGTGCCGGTCTCAACTGCATATCTTGCTAACCCTGAGCAATGGCCATCTTTCACACGGTCCGCACCTAATCTCTTTTCCCACTGTGGTCTTGGTGAAATCTAGGTCTGCCGAGTTTGTCATCACAGTTTTGAGTCTCTGAAAGCAGCATTGAAGGAAGCCTGGAAGAAATAGACGAGGAATACCTGCGTGCAACGTGCGCGAAGCTCAAGAAGCGACTTCGAGCTTGAACTCGTCGCAGTGGAGATTACAAAATCTGGTTGCTCCACAATTGTTGTATATGATGCGTGCTAACTTACAAATAGAATTCACTCAAATCCTCCGTTTGAAAGCTTGAAATATATTGCTGTGTATAGGCGCCCATAATTTTGGAACATCTGTACAGTGATCGTGGCTTTTGTTCTGGGAAAACTATGATTTGACCATTCGGCAATTCGTTGAATCTTCTTTTCTAATTCTTTCAGCGGAATCGCAGAATCGCTCAATCTCCAGTAAGAAGCTTTGAAAATAACTTAGAAGTGTTATCCTTGGGCACCATCACAGTCCACGATTTGGTCGATTCGGGGTTTTCACTAAAAAAACAGGGTGCACTTCAATTAGTTTGCCCCACCAAATAACAGTTCTGTGATTCAGCAATTCAACGATCCTTCCAATCGAAACGTACGTACATAATATCAACATGGCTGATAAAGAAAGAGCCGTACCGAGGCTCCTCCAAGGTGTGAGGGAAGGTCGCAACAGCTTTCAGCAATGCTGACGCGATAGTGAGCCCAGGAGCGAGTGCCCGTGATAACGACCAATGTTACAATTGTGAGGTTTGGAGTTAGTTGAGCCCACGAATCCATGGCGTCCTTTCTACGCATATTTGACTATGCGAAAAACGCACAAACTTTTTTTATGGGCTGGACTCACCAGTTCACAAGCCTCTACTGTTAGCATATCAGTCAGCTAACAGTGGAGTGTGCCTCCATAGAAATAAGCCTAATCTTCATTAGGTAAGTTCTGTAGTGACGGTCACCTGCCTGAGAAGCATGAAGTAGCCAAGGTTAAATCAAAACAGTATGCAAATGCGTAGGCCGCCGTTTAAGTGTCAGTCATCACAAATTTCTAGAAGGAAAGCCTCACAGCCGAAGCAGAGACGATTATCGTCGAGATGCGAAACCATCTCTCATTATCACGGATAAGAGCACCACTGATAAAGGCCAGAAAAAAACGTGAAGAGAATATTGGTGTTGCGATGAGCGAATGTCAACCGAAGTCCAGAATCCAGGATCTTCCCGCGCCCCTCCCCCTCTCCTTGACACCTCTTTCTATCCCTCTGCCTCCTTCTGCCTTTTCTATATGCATTTCGACCAAAGTGACAATTCAGACCAAAAGTATGATATTTCCGAATTGACCTCAAAGTAAGATATTTCGGAATCTACCTGATGGTGTCACCCTTTCCTGATGGAACTTATCCTTCTCAAATTCGAGAGTAACTAGCTTGAGGTGCATCACCGGCCCTACTACTTTACATTGTCTTCTTTGAGTGCATGAAATTTTTCGGGTGATATCAAGGCATGACTGCAACATCTGACTCGCAAAGGTCCGGGTGGCAAAATCAGCGACACATCGACTCAACGAGGCCATCAAGATAGCAAGAATTGTAAAATCTCAAAAAAAACTTCTACCTTGGAGTGATAGCTGCTTTTGGCTTTGTTATCATCGCAGACTGATGCCATCGAGAATGATGTCACCGAATAATCCCGCTGAAATCTGACATATTTTTGAGTTGTCTCATAATTCCTGTCCATTTTTTATTCACATTCACTTTTCTGCTGTCTAAAGCTGCTTCATTGCGAAATATCATTTACTAATCCACTTGAGAACATCAAGAACACCAACCAGGGGGTTCTCGATGTTGCTGTTAGCAATCTAGTAAGGGGAAATCAACTAAGAATCAAAGTAGGCTAGAGAACAGCGAATGATTTGCTTTACGATCCTCAAATGAACACTATTGCTAGGTGTTGTATTATTATTTTATTATTGTGTATAACTTCCGTGTTGTGACCCCAAACATCACCCCTTGTCATGCCTTTGCCCCCTATTACGTGACAAGTCCCATTTTTAGAGGAATGTTTTGTAGAAAGCTGTAAAGGAAGCGAAGAATTTCCTTCACTGTCGTAGACTATGGTCACTTGTCTGTAGGAATTATGTGGAAAACTCGGTCGCAAGTGAGCGTTCCTTCCGTGGTGTGGCCCCAAACATGCCTCCTCGTCATGCCCTTGTGGAAAGTTCAGATTTTTTTGCATTTCCAGATGAACGCGAAAACGGTGAAATGTAATGCTCAACTGGGGGGATGTAGTGCATATCATTCGATAGCATTCTTCACGGGAAAGCTAACGGGGCACATTTCAGGTCTGCGAGTTCATCTGGAAATGCAAAAAATCTGAACATTCCACAAGGGCATGACGAGGAGGCATGTTTGGGGCCACACCACGGAAGGAACGCTTACTTGCGACCGAGTTTTCCACATAATTCCTACAGACAAGTGACCATAGTCTACGACAGTGAAGGAAATTCTTCGCTTCCTTTACAGCTTTCTACAAAACATTCCTCTAAAAATGGGACTTGTCACGTAATAGGGGGCAAAGGCATGACAAGGGGTGATGTTTGGGGTCACACCACGGAAGAAACGCTCACCTGCGACCAAGGTTTCCATATAATCCTTACAGACAAGTGACCGTAGTCTACGACAGTGAAGGAAATTCTTCGCTTCCTTTACAGCTTTCTACAAAACATTCCTCTAAAAATGGGACTTGTCACGTAATAGGGGGCAAAGGCATGACAAGGGGTGATGTTTGGGGTCACACCACGGAAGAAACGCTCACCTGCGAAGGTCCCCATATAATCTTTTTCCATATAATCCTTACAGACAAGTGACCGTAGTCTACGACAGTGAAGGAAATTGTTCGCTATCTTCACAGCTTTCTGCAAAACATCTCTGAAAATGGAAAATGTCACATAATAGGCCCACTATGCCTGCTGAGAACTGTTCAAAGATTCCACTTGATATACAGAGGATGGGATATTGAGAGCAGAGGGAACACGTAAAGCCAGTAAGCGCTTAAAAACGAAATGAAGATCTAAGAATTCGGAAATAACATTCATCTAATCTCACAATGTAGTGGATGAGATTGAGTACGTGGCGCATTCTGGGGTAAGTTTTGAGGCCCTTCTCTGTGTGTAGCGGTCAGCCCGCATAAGCGGGATTATATACACATCACATGCGAGCAACTACTTTTTGAGATGAAAATCGAGTGCATGGCGCAATCCTATATGGAGCTTTTCCAAAGTATCAAAGCACATTCTTATAGTGTCCGACGAGCTGAATTCAAAGATATCTTCGGATTCTCGCTCAATTTTGAACCGAGTTATAACGAATTCACGAAATTAACGAGGATTCGCGTTATTCGCGTGAATTTTCGATTTCAAACGGCGAGTACTGTACATTTCGAAGAAACAGTTTTGCTTTATCTATTTCAACTTCAGAAAAAAAATCACTATGCCTTTTGGCCTGCAACCTTATCAATACACGTGAATAGAAGAAATAGTCCTTTAATTATGTATGCCATGTTGTTGTTCTTCACGTGCCTATCAATCCAACATAGTCCATGAACTTGCCCTATAAAGGCGGATTGGACTCGATTTACAATTACGTAGGTGATACCGTAAAACATTGGCACTGATTAGGAAATAGATTGAAAACAACAATTTTGTTCCATTCTATTGAAACTTAAAAATCTGAAGGGGATTACAAAAAAAAACATGCGGTTATGCATACGAACGTAGTTGTCCAATCAGTTACACAAAAAATCTTCAGCTGTTAACGAGTTCGTAGCGTATCTCTGAATAGCCACCCCGTCCTCTCCGAAGCGACTGACGTAATTTTTGGGGTTGTATCCGTAGGCGTTGGCTAGCAGAAGATTGATCACGGACTGGTCATACCTATAAATGGAAAGCAATTGAATAATCACATGCGTAGTGTCCTGCACATTATACAAAATCAACAGCAGATTACAAGGGAGGTCTTTCAGGGCAAGGTGCGCTTTTTGGAAACGGTTTAGTACATGTTGTAGGGACGCATGTATGGACCACAAAACCATGTTTCGTTTTCGCTGAACGGTTTTAGTAGTACCAAAAAAGTGGTGAATAATACTCTTGATGGTTCAATCCCCCGCGGCGACTAAATTTTGCAATCAAGGTTGGCGGCCACTTGTTGGCTTCAAAATGGTCCTGACGATGAATTTGACATCTGATTTTGATATTTAGCGCGATTTGGCACCAAACCGTAGGCGCCAACCCAAATGCAAAATTTAGTCGCCACGGGGGATCGAACCCTTAACAGTACCTTATGCTTCTTTTTTGGTACTGCTATAACCGTTCAGCGAAAATGAAACATGGTTTTGCGTTCCCTACATGAAAGTGCACCTTGCCCTGAAAGACCTCCCTGGTTTTTTGGGGAGAGAATGGAAGAATTTCAGTATTTTGTTGATCAAGCCGTTACCTGGGACTGTTCACAACCTACAGAAAAACCGTAAGGTGAATGCGTTTCTAATTTCACTTTTGATTACCCTCCATTCTCGTTGCGCGGAATCAGTCTGAACCACATATAGAACGCTGTCTATGTCTTTGTGTGCGTGTTCAGTTTCATAAACAACGTCACAGCAACTGTGAGGCAATGCTTTTTTACATATGGGAGTGAAACTGACAACGGTTGAGTCAAAAGAGAGGGTCAAAATGTGAGTACTTCCCAATTTTGTAACGATTCGTCGTACATATGGTATCTGGGTCAGCGCTTCCTTACTAGACTTACACAGTTTAATGAACGACAACGTTTCTAGGCTAGATTTGATGTACCGAAAGCAAGTACAGCAGTGACAGCGCTCACGCTTGCTTCACCCTTCCATTGTTTGAAAGGATATAAAAAGGCTCGGTGTTTCC